AGATAAGATCAATTTGCTGAGTTTAAGAAGATTTATTTTAAAAAATATGATTGTTAACAACCGAATGATGCTTTGTCCGCTACCTCAGAATCACCCTGTTCTATCTCACATTTTAAGAAAAAAAAACCGTTTTCAGTTACTAAAACCATGAGGTCAGAAACCAAACGTTCCATCTACTCCATAAAAAATCGAAAAATTATTCATAGTTGCTATCAAGTTATTCAAAGAATTGCTTTCTTAAAAGCTTGACTTGTTGTGGAACTCACAATTGTTAAGGTCAAATTTCTCAGAACTATGTACTGAGCAGACACAACTTTGTAGTTCTAGTGTAGCCTTATACTGGCAACACAATCGACGTAAGCACAAGCGGGCTATCCCGAAAAATGCTGTTTTGAGAAAATCGACGATTAAGTTTTTACCCCTTGTTTAGTTTCTTCAAGGACAAAGAGAGTTTTCTCTATGACCAAACACACATACACACCAATGAAACCAAACTTCTCCTACAGGTAGGGCAATTCCCACTTTCGTTGTAGGTCAAGATTTCTGGAAACCCCCGAAATCTGGGTTAGCCTGCTTGTCCTTAAAAGCGACCATAGATGGGAGAGAATGGAACAAGTACATTGGGTCAAAGAAGGGTTAATTCTAGGGTAGCAGTATGCAAAGAGTTAACCCAGTCCTGCACAGTTTTCCATTAATGGATCATGTTTTCACCTTCACTGTAAACGCAATACAATGTTAAAACAAAAGTTTTAGTACTAAAAAATAGTATACTGTATCTGCTTTGGAACCAACGTATCAGTTTTACAGAGTTATGCCCCATTTCCAAAGATGGGGGCCGCAAGTGAAGCACCCTAGCCAGCACGAAAACAGCCCCAAGAAAGTTATTATTTTTCCTACAAATCTATTTTTTCTTCTTTTAATGATTAAAACGATAGGTTATATTCTATTTTAGAAGGTCAATACCTTGTTCATGGCTGTTTATAAAAATTTACTGACTCATTTAATCTCTGAAAGTATGATTCAATAATGGAACGCTATGCACGAGAGGGTGAGGTTGTTTTTTTCCCGGGGTGAGATTTGACCTTGAATTCTCACTGTAACAGTTTTTTTGGAACGATATTTGGGTTTTTTCTATCTGTTGTGATGTATCGGAGACGTGTAGAAAGCTTTACACTCGACTTTCTGTAGCCTGATTACGCCAGGAGATAATGTGTGACGTACCGGGCCAGCATTGATACCCCAAGGGTCCTGCGACTCGTTATAAGCGACGTCAATGTCTTCCATGGCTATCTCCTCTCCGTAGTACGTGGTGGGCGTTCCCTTCAGCGTCAGCAGCAGCATGTTGAAGGCGTTGGCGTTACGCGGGTTGTACTTGCTGGCTACACGGTTACGGTCGTGGTTACCGATCTGTTTGCGAGGAAAAGGAAGTGTGTTTTGGAAGTGGGTTTTTTTTGGTAGTGTTTGTATACTTTTCTTATTTCTCTGTCTCTCTCTCTCTCTCTCTCTCTCTCTCTCTCTCCCCTCTCTACCCCCTCTCTCTCTCTCTCTCTCTCTCTCTCTCTCTCTCTCTCTCTCTCTCTC